GGGAGCGAGGGAGCCCCTGACACAGCCAGAGAAGCTGTAGTAGCGTGACCTTGAGGGGAAAAGCGAAGGCTGCAAGATTTTGGGTGAGCAAGTGTAACATTCATATGATTTTTTTATGTCTGCTGGGCTGGGTGCTTGTATCAGTGACAGCAACAATCCATCCTGCAGTTCAAACTAAAGCTGGTGAGGTTGGTGCTGGATTTTAGAACCGATGGGCGTTTTAGATCCTGGGGGAGTTCATTCCTCAGCACTGGATGGCTCCGGGAAAGCTCTGCCTCGGGCTCAGACGAGCCTGCCCCACCCCCTCCTTCATTTGTGTCACTTCTTCAACGGTCACCCTGCGCGGCCGAGGACATCCTGCCATTCAGTCACCCCGGCTCAGGCCTGTGGAGAAGGCTGATGTTGCTAACTTTATGTTGTGTGTTTAGTGTATGTGTCCTAGGGGGTCGCACACTCGGTTGCTGCTGGCGGGTGAACTTATTGCACACACCAGAGGATTCTCACATCCCTCCATTCCCACCCACAACCTTCCTGTGCGCCACCATCCCATGTCCCTCAATTGCAGGGGCTCTGTGTGCCCCCCAAACTCCCTTCTCCTCCCAAGCTAGGGACCCCTGATTTCCCCTCCAATGCCAGCAGCATTGTGTGCCTCCCATTCCCCCCCATACCAGGGGCTTTGTGTCCCCTATTCCTCACTCTCCCAGTGCTTGGGTCCCCAATTCTCCCCCCATGGCAGGGGCTCTCAATGTGCTCCCATTCCCCTATTTCCCTCCCATACTAGGGTTCCCTAGTCTCCCCCCCACACACAAGGAGTTGTGTGTGCCCCTCATTAATCCCTCTCCCTTCTCTCTCAGGCCAGGAGCTCTGCCTCCCTCCCATTCCCACCTTCCCCCCCATGCTGGGGGTTCTGGGTGTCCCCTTGCCCCTCACCAGGTTCCCCCAATTTCATGCTGTCTGGAGTGACTCACAACTGTGAGTGCCAATCTCAGGTCAGACTGTCAGAAAACAGGGCAGCCACCCCAAGCCGGTGGTGTGGTCTGTAATTAGATTTCACCAACCAGTAACAAATGTGAACTCCTGGATCACTGTTCTAGTCTTACCAGGGAGTCACAAACAGTCCACTTCAGCTCTCCAGCCCATTTTACCATGCAAATAAACAGGACTTCTTCCATCCCTCCTCCATAGTGTTTTTTTTCTGGGACATCAGCCATTCAGGTGGCCAACATCTTACACTCCGCTGGGAGGATGGGCAGAGCTGAGCTGGGGGTGTTGTTATGCTGGAGGCATTAATCCAGCCATCAGCTGGTTCTTTGATCTATTGGCAACTGCAGAGGGGCTTGAAGATGTGGCTCTGCTAAATGGATACCAGGAGCTTCATGTGTCCCCCATTTTGCCTGTTGTGGCTTACTGATTTCCTCTAAACTCAAAAGGGTTCTGGCCACTTCACTGCCTGGAATTCTGGAATTGATCAGATGAGACATTGAAAAATTATCCCATTACAGACAGAGACACAGACAGAGAAATGGCACCAAGCGGGGTGTAAGGGCGTTGCATGCCTGGCCCAAAAGTGACATTTCTAGTCTGTTTTTTAATCTCTTGGATGGGGCAGCATCCGCCACTTCCCTTCCTCGCCCATCCCCCCATCCCCACAGCACCCCTATGCAGAGGGTGGCCGGCAATCGCAGGGGGAGTAGCCAATAGCACCAGGGCGCCTCAGCCTTACTGCCCTGGGTGAGAGGGGTGTGCGGGGCAGAAAGCAGGGGAGATGGAAAGACCATTCTCAGAGATGGGATGGGCTTGTGGGGATTCCCTTTGAATCCTCAGGGTCTGTTGGGTTTGCTGCGTGCATCCCTCCCTTCCCCATTACGTTATGCTGCAAACCTCCCTTGCTGTTGTTGCTGAAGTGCTTTTTCCGTCCCATGTGTTTTCCCATGGAAGGTGAGAATCAGGGCCAGGCTGTTTGGTGTCAGATTAGCCGCAAAAGTGCAGGTTATTTGTCCTAACCACTGCACCAGTAAAATGCAGTGGTGAGGACAAATTTGAGATTTGGGTCATTTGCTCCTTAAGACAAAGATGCAGAAACTCCACATATGGGTCTTTCCCTCATCTTTAATTTTGCCATAAATTCTATGTGATGTGAAAAAGCATTGCTTCTTTATCTGTTTGGAAGCTGCAACCTGTGTCTTATACTAAAAGAGAAACAACATTCCATATTTAGAAGATAAGGGATTTTTTTCACATACCACATGTAAAGAAAATTCACTGCTGTAACTTTCCGCTCACAACAGAGTTTCTCAGCCTGTTTTTTACTTCACTGTAAAGGCTTCCTTTAGGCTCTCCAGTGCCTGCTCTTTAGTTATTTTATACTAGTCACCAGGGAGATCGGCAGGGAGAGCATCAAACGCCTCAGCAAACTGGTGATTGAATTCCTTGAAAACAAACTTCCAGTAATCGGAAGCCGTGATGCTGGGATCTGGTTGGATGCGCCAGTCCAGAAAATATTTCCGATAATCTTTACAAGGATGAAACTCCCCTTTTGTCTCTGTACATCTAAATGTGTTATTGGAAGCCACAGAAGAGGAGCATATATCATAGGCAAGTCTCCTTGTTATATTCTCCTGGCTTTCCCCTAATCCTCTAGGTCGATGCACTGCTGCAAAATGCTCTGTATGTGCAGGGGTTCCTGCGTCACAGGGGACTTTACAGAACGGACACTGCTTCCCACAGCCAAACACTCGCTTGAAGATCTCATCCTGGGGCTTCACTGCAAGTTTTGAGAGTTTTGACTGAATTTCCAGATTTTCAAAAGTGGCTAAAACTTGTTTTTCCAGATCAGGAATAAACTGTTCTATAAAAGCTGAAAATTGGTCTGCACGTGCTGTGTTTTTAAACAGTATCACTTCTAAGCTGTCCTTGGGAATGAGTAGATCCTGCTGCAGCTTTTCACAAAAGTTGTCTAAAAAGGCAGAGACTGTCTTAGTCTTCAAATATTTGGAGTTTTTCAGAACATCACTGAGTTTATTAATTATTGGGGAGACAATCCTTTTCTCCAAATCTCCCAGACTTGCCTTCTCTCTGTAATGTGTTAACACGTGTTTCTGTATCTGGGTTTTGATAAAATCTACATAATTCCTTGTGTATTGCAAATAACTGTTAAATTCATTTTCTTCCAAAAGCTGCTTCAGAACAAAGAATTGGAAAAAGCTCCGGGTGCTGTACTCAATAGACTGTTCACTGCTGAGAATGTCATCCACGATTTCTATCCCAAGTCTCTTGTTCACATAGTTCACCAGGGCAGGTCTGAGACACCGATCACAGAAATCGTAGGCCCTGTTTTGACACTCATCCTTCTCTAAGTACAGAGCTTTGAACGTGGAGAGATACAGAGGTTTCAGTTTCCCCAGATGCTGCAGAGGGTCATTTTTGGTAATGAATTCTTCATGCATCTTCTGAAATGCACGAGCTGCATCCCCCAAAATGTGAAGCTTCAGGTCAACTTCAAAGCAAGGGCTGATGTGAAGGTTTTCAACATATGCCTGCTGAAGCTGCTCGTTAATCATCCGCAACAACTCTCTGCAATAAATTTCATCGTAATCTGCTTTGCCATTTACCTTTTTATCAGTGTAACTATTGCACTCATCTATTAAGGATGTACCAAGAGCCTTTGTTTTATGCCAGCTTTCCTGTGTAAAGCGTTCTTTCACACCTTGGAACGCTTTTACAGCTGACACTGATATTTTCTTACATTTGAGCACACTGAAGTCTAAGTATTCATTTTTCATTTTTCATTTTGTGTTTTATAAGTAGACAAGCTTTTGGCCTCCTTTAACATCTGCCATGCTGCACTCCCCCTATTCTCTAGGTCTTTTCTCAAATGTAACTCCATTTCTTTATATATGATGCGTTTCTCTAAAGGAATGAGTGATAATTCTGACAATGTTTCTCTCCACATGGTTTCAAATTCTTTCTCCTGTTCATCATTATTTAGCTTGCATTTGCTTTTCCTGCAATGGTTCAGAAGCTGTCAACTTTCTCTTCAATTTTTCTCTTGTACTGTGACAGGACAGCGTCTGTTTTATGTCGGCCTTTTCTAATTTCAATCGCTTCTTTCAACTTGCTGAATGAATAACTCTCCAGTTCATTCCTCAGACCATCTGCACTTCTCCTAAAATCCTGTTTGTACTTTTCTATCAGGTGCAGATTTGTTGCTCCACTTTCAAAATATTGTTTTAAATGATCCAAAATCTTCTCTGCTTCTTGTCTCAGTTTGTTCTGTGCCTCGTTCTTTAGTTTGGTTAAAACACTTGTGTCTAGCTTATCTGGTGGCTGATTTTGGATGAAAGTTTCTTTTTGAGATACCCAGAAATGCATCACCTTGCGGAAACCCCATTCCCACTCTGCATACTTCACAGGGAACTGGTTATAGGCTTCAGCGACGAGACCGTTTCTAAAGCTGAAGATGAAGTTCTCACGTTTTACAGCATTCCACAGTCTCTTCACCCATTCAAGAAATTGGGAAATGTCCTTAGGGGATCTGTTTTGTGAACAGCCTTTCAGAAATTCAAACAAATATTTCTTTAATTCATAAACCTTTTCACTGTATCCCATATTCACTGGAGCCATGGGAGGGACTCCGTGCCACAGAGCAGGAATGTACCAATTGTGTTTTTCCAGATCATAATCCATAATATCAGAAAATGTCATCTCCCTGCCTTTCTTTTCCATGTTTGCTGCAGCTTTGGTCATTTCATCCATCTGCTCCAGGAGGTGTTTCCTGTCCCTCATGTTTTGTTCATGTGCAGACACATCACTGACGTTCTGATGCACAAACTGGCAGTTGGCTTTTTGCCCTATTTCCTCCATTCTGAGAAATGCATGGACCACAGTTTGCAGAACATCCTTCATGTCGGTGGCATTCTCCATGGCCATGTTAACGATGGTTATGTCACTCAGTCCAATCACCAGTGTGGCCAGCTCATTGTCATGTTGATAACTGTCCTCCAGCTTGGCCAGTTCAGGGGCTTTAAAGCCTTCCGTGTCTATCACCAGGATGAAATCACAGCCCAGCTCCTGCTGAAAGTTCTCTGCCACTTTAATGAGTGACACGAAGGCTCCTCGCGTACATCGGCCACTGCTCACTGCAAACTGCAGGCCGAACATGGTGTTGAGGAGGGTGGATTTCCCAGTGCTCTGCACTCCCAGCACCGTTAGAACCACCATTCTGGATCTTCCCCCCAGCTTGGCATGGAGCTGAGTCAGAACATCTGTCACCCACTGCAGTGGGATGTTGGATACATCCCCATCGATCAGCTCCATGGGAAACCCTTCCAGCATCAGGTCAGCTGCTATGCCTGGGAGATGGACAAATTGCCTTTGGATGTTCCCCATGTTCCCTTCTTTCACCATTGAGCATTCGGCCTCGTAAAATTGCCCCAACTCGCGCATGAAATGCTCCACCCCTAAGGAGCTGGCAGAGATTAGTTCATCCAATTCCGCCAGCTGTGGTGCATCATCCCCTACAGCGCGACATTTCTCTTTATACTCAGCCCGGAGCCTAGAGAGGTTCCCCCTGGCGATGTGATCCAGGTGGAACTTCATCCATTTCAGGAAGTGATGCTTCTCAGCTGGACACAGTTGTCCTATCCCGCTAATAAATTTAACCATCCCGCTGGTGAGGTCACACTGATTCTGATGCCTGCGTAGCTCCAACCACCTTTCTCTCAGCTGGGATCTATAGTCTTCCGGAGAGACATCCTGTTGGCCTTTCATCTGGCACAGCTCTTTCTCCACTTTAGCCAAGTTCTTCCACAGATCCCCTTGGAGCCTCAGCATGTCCCTCTTGTACTTTGCCATGTCCTTTATTTCTGCAGTGATTTCTTCAATGTGCTCCAAGGCGGTCCAACATTCTCCATCATCTTCATCCACCTGGATCCCTAGCTCCCGCGCTGTCACAGCCATGTCACAGACCCTCGCGCTCTTGGGAGAGGAGCTCATGACGCCCCGTAGGGTGGATCGTAGCTTTTTCACCAGCTCCGCGCTGTTGTTGCTCTGTTCTTTCACCAGAAGTTGTGATTTTTTCATATCCAGCAGTGGGGCTAATTTATTGAGGAGTCCCAGTGTTTCCTTGGCTTTCCCAGCCTGACTGTTAAGGATGAAGTAGTATTTAGTGGCTGATCCCTGCAGAGATGATAACAGGGTGTATTCTCTCTCATTGATACTCTCCGTTAATATGAACACTGCTGAGGAGATCTCTGTTAAAAAGCTAAACTGCAGCCAGTGGGACTCAATGTCTCCTCGCAGATTTGTAACTGCGATGGGCTCTGGGAAAAGATCCAAATTCTCCCTCCCACAAGGGAAATACCAGGAAATCTCGACCAGCCCATCTGCGATTTCCCGAAGGACATTCCCAGACTCCATGTCCCGATGGATAAAGAAATCGTGATGCTGCTGGGAGGGGCTGAGAACTTCATTGAGGAGTTTGGACTTGGAGAAGCTGCAGCTCCCCATCCGCACAAAGGAAATGGTTGGCATTGCTGTGAGCACCAGGCTCTCCTCTCTGAACCCTCTACTCTCTGCCAGGGAGTGCGGCCTCCACTTCCTCCAATGTCCCTCATGGCCCACAGCATTAGGGTGTACCTGGGGGTGTCGAGGGCAGGTAGCAGCAGAGGGAGGGCAAACTGGCACATGGACATTTTGGACAGGATCTCCTGCTGCAGGAAACTGTCTGAGCAAAGCAGAACGGCACAGAGAACATCGAGGGGGTTTAGTGAATCACTGGTGTCTGTGTCACTGTGATAAAAAAATTCTTCATGAATACCCAGCTCCTCTTTGTCCATAATTAGTGTTTGATCATCAGGTGCCCGGTGCTTCTCGCTGTCCCATTCAGAGCCATGAGCTTCCTCAGGAAATGCCACGGTAAATCTCCTGTTGTCTGGGGAGTCCAGTTCTTTACACTTTCTGGTGTGATTTCCAGGACATCTCTCAGCTTTAGTTTCCTGCGTCTGTATTTCTGCATATTTAGCTTGGATTCGATGTACTGAAGGGCTTTTTGTCTCTCTGCAGAAAGGAGATACAAGGGGGAAAATTAATTAATTTTCAAACTGGACACCATCAATTAGGCTTGAATAAAGACTGGGAGTGGATGGGTCATTACACGAACTAAAAACTATTTCCCCCTGCTAATTTTCCCCCTA